ATTTCTGTGTTTGTCATCCAGTCTGTGGTATTTTCTTACAGCAACCTGAGTTGACTAAGATTTTCTGCTTCCCTCTTGTTGTCTCTACTACTCTCTTCTGAGAGGACAGAGGAAAAATATATAGACCTAGTGACTGATAACCTATGTAAGGCATCCCGTCTATGATTAGAGTTAGGTGAACAAAGTATTCTATATATATTGCATTTTAAAAAGTAAAAACATCTTTTTTACCAGTTTGTGTTCTGCAATGGCACTAAATTCCTTTCTTCATTGTGTGAATTGATAAAAAATAACTTTTCCTGAAAGGAGAGGGAAACTGGGGAGAGAAAAACTTGAAGAACAGATCGAGAAGATGACAGACAGATGCATACAAGAGATAGGTTCCAGATGTACCCCTTCATCCCTGAGCCTCACTAAGGCTCTCTTCCCCTATCTTGCCCACTATTTCTTTCCTTAGCATCTTTTCACTTCCTTGTGTTGGCATGTCCCATCTTTTTTTTCCTCTCCTGTTTAAACTCACTTCAGCTTGTAGGAACCAATTCTCCCACGTCAAGATTTCCATGTCTCTGCCTTCTGGGATAACAGAAAATTAATCTACATGCTAATGGTTGTAGAGCAGTGATCTCACTCCCAAATAACAACTGTATGCATTAACTAGAGCAATCCACAAGGAGCATATTCACCTGAGTTTCTGAGCATGCTCATCCCAAAGGAAACTCTAGCCCAGCATTACAAAATAGAAATAGAACAAAAGTCACAAATGGAAGACACAAATTATATTTAAAATTTTCTGACAGCCACATTTTCAAAAAGCAAAAGAAACGAGTAAAATTAATTTTTAAATGTATTTTAACACAACATATTCAAAATATTTTAATAATACACAATTTTAGAAATTTAATGAGCTATTTCACATTTTTTTCAAACTAAGTCTTCTGAATTAATGGTGTCTTTTACACATACAATGCATCTCAATCCAGACTAGCTACATTCAATGGCTCAATGGCCACATGTGGTTATTGGCAATCATTATAGGACAGCACAGTTCTGGCCAGATAAAAGGAAAGGTGAAGCCCTGGCATATCAGCAGAGAGGAAAGCCCTTGGCCCCAATTGTTTGGACTCTCTTTTCTGGGCCTGAAAGCACAGATATTTTGCAGAGGCAACAAACCAAATGCTACTTTGAAATCTGAGATTTTTTTGATTTTTAACCAAAGACAGGTACTCACGCCACCATTTCCTTAAACATTTTAGTTAGAATTTTAACTGTTCAAAACAAAAAATTCTCCATGGATTCATGAAATATGATACAGTTCTAATGATTATTTCTAAGAGCAGAGAAGAGCCCCATCTTCCCCCCCCCACCCCGTCACTTTTTATGGAGTCAAAAACTGCCCAAAAGAATATACAGTGGAACAAGGAGAGTTTGCTTAATAAATGGTGCTGGGAAAACTGGACTGCTATATGCAAAAAAATGAAGCTAGACCACTACCTCACACCATGCACAAAAACCAACTTAAAATGGATAAAAGACTTGGACAGAAGACCTGAAACTGTAACATATATAGAAGAAAATATATAGGTAAAACACTATGTGACATGTGACACACATCTCAGTAACATCTTTAAAGACACATTCCCCTAAAGCAAAGAAAGTGAAGGAAAAGATGAATAACTGGGACTACATCAAATTAAAAAGCTTCTGTATCACAAAAGAGACATTAACCAAAATAAAGAGACACCCTACTGATTGAGAAAAAATCTTTGCACTCCAGTCAACTGATAAGGGACTGATCACAAAGATCTATAAAGAGCTCACACAACTCAACAAAAACAAAGTAAGCAATCCAGTCCAAAAATGGGCATAAGGACCAAAAAGGCACTTCTCCAAAGAGGAAATGCAAATGGCCAACAAGCACAAGCATATGAAAAAATGTTCAACATCACTTGTAATCAGGGAAATGCAAATCAAAACCACAATGAGATACCACCTTATACCAGTGAGAATGGCACATATCAAAAAAACAGGAAACAAATGCTGGCAAGGATGTGGAGATAAAGGAACTCTCTTATAGTGCTGGTGGGAGTGCAAACTTTCCACTATGGAAAGCTGCAAAGAGGTTCCTCAAACTACTGAAAACAGAGCTTCCATATGACCCAGCAATTCCACTCCTAGGAATCTACCCAAAAGATACAAAAACAGTTCAAAAAGATACCTGCACCCCTATGTTTATTGCAGCACTTTTTACAATAGGTAAGATATGGAAACAACCCAAATGCCAAAAATAAATGACTGGATCAAGAAGATGTGGTATACATACACAATGGAATACTATTCAGCTATCAAAAAAGATAAACTCATGCCATTCACAGCAACATGGGTGAAGTTGGAAGGGATTATGCTCAGTGAAATAAGCCATAAAGAAAAAGAAAAATATTGGATGGTTTCACTTATAGAAGGAATGTAGGGGAACAAAATAAGGGATCGGGAAAAAAATAATTATAATTAAAAACACAACATTAATAGGCAACTATTAATAGAAGACACTCTGCAGGGGAGGAACAGGGAGAGGGATCGAAATGGGAGAGAAGAACACAAGGGACTATGGTGAAAGTGCACAGGTGAATTGGTGGTGGGAATTTTATGGGGACTATACCTGAGAGGAGAAAGTGTGCATTGTACAAAAAGGAAGAATGATTTCATATATATATATATATATATATATATACACACACAGATACACACACACATATATATAAATAATAATAAATTTAAAAAAAAAAACTATTGCCCACTGTGTAAATGTGGCACTCAAGCTCTTACCTTGGGAAAGTGAGGACCGCAAATCAGTTTTATTTGCTAGGAAATGGGTGATACCCTGCCTGCATGGAATTCCACATTAAAGCTGCCTATCTTTGAGAAGTGTGTACTTTCACAATACTGGCAGACTTCTGTTTTCAGGACTGTTACAATTCTCTCAGGTGCATTTCAGGTAGGATTTGTTTTCACTGGAAATTGAGTAAATGCTGGACCTTCAATTATTGCAATCAACTGTGGCAAACAGAACATGTGTCAAATTCATTCATGTACTGTTGACTCAATTGTTCCTATAATTATGCCCAAGCCCCTGCTTTATCCTTACTTCTTTTTTTTTTTTTTAAGATTTTATTTATTTATTTATACAAGCACTGGGTACAGCCAGAAGCACAGGAGGGTGAGAGAATTCACCAGAGCCAGAGCGGAAAGCAGAACAGGCAGAATGATGAAGCAGTACACTGCTGAGGGGAGCAGCAGGCGGCAGGAGAGGTCTGCACGCCATGTGGGACCATCAGCCGGGGATCGAACCGGTGCTGCAGAGGCTGCGGGCAGCTTCGCAACCCAGCGCTCAACCACTGTGTCACAGGGGAGGCCCGTATCCTTACTTCTTATAGCTGATCTACCTTTTATATAACTCAGAGAAATTATTTTACTGGTGAAATTTTCAGGATTAAAGTAAATCTCAGCAGAGATTTGTTTTTAATGATTTCCCGATTAGCCACTAATTTTTATCTCTTTGTTGGAGCCTCTTTCTGCTTCCTCACTCAGGCCTTTATGCTTATTTAATGGGTTAATGAGTAGAAAATTGATGAAGAATGAGTTTTTATTGTTGAGAGGTATTTGTGATCTTATTTTAACATGCTGAAAAGTCTTCAGACCTAAAAGAAATGAGATGCTATGGTAACAGAGTTCTCCTGGATCACCTCAAATCACACCCCTGCCATACCTACAGCTGACTTGGGTTAAAAAAACTACTCTCTTTTTTTTTCATTATCAGTCTCCCAGAAAGGGCAATGTAAACCTTTTTAATTTTTCCAATTGATTTAAAATTCAAATTGAAGCACATTTCTACTTAAATGTTGCTCTTGTTAAAAATTACTTGGGAAAGAGGTAACATGAAATTTGGGATAGTTGACACTTGTAATCAGGGAAATGCAAATCAAAACTACCATGAGATACCATCTTACACCAGTGAGAATGGCACATATTAAAAAAACTAGCAACAACAAATGTTGGCGAGGTTGTGGAGAAAAAGGAACTCTCCTGCACTGTTGGTGGGAATGCAAACTGGTCCAACCACTATGGAGAGCTGTGTGGAGATTTCTGGACCTACTAAACATAGAGCTTCCATATGATCCAGCAATTCCACTCCTAGGTATTTACCCAAAGGACACAGAAACATCAATTCCAAAGAACACCTGCACCCCTATGTTTATAGCTGCACTATTTACAATAGCTAAGCTTTGGAAACAGCCCAAATGCCCAAAAATAGATGACTGGATCAAGAAGATGTGGTACATATACACCATGAAATATTACTCAGCATTCAAAAAAGATAAACACATGCAATTTGCAGCAACATGGATGGCGCTGGAAGGGATCATGCTCAGCGAAATAAGCCAAAAAGAAAAAGAAAAATACCGGATGGTCTCACTCATAGCAGGAATCTGGAAAACTTAAATAAGGGATCAGGAAAATGAATAACTATAAGAAAGTGAAAATCAAAATCAACAAAAAACTATGAACCAGAGACACTTTTTGGGGGGTGGGGCCGGGAGGGAGGGATTGGGGTCAGAATGGGGCATGTGCAGTTGTATGGGGGAATATAAAAATAAAATTTATTATTAAAAAAAAAAAAGAAATTTGGGATAGTTGTTTGGAGATTAGATTTCCAAGGGCAATTCATTCCCATGGTTAATTGAAAGTTAAATCCATATAAAAAAGATTGGCAAGTACTGATTCTTCCACCCTCTCCAGGGGTTTCCAAGTTCTTTTATCCTGAACACCCAGAATCTTTCCCTTGACTGGATCCAGATTCCATTCTCAGTATAGCTGACCAGATGACGCAACACTGTGTACTCTTTTAGGAACATGAGAAATGCAGCTTTTTCATCTTCCCTCTCTTGAGTTCTGGGAAATCTAATTAAAACTGCTCAGATTTTCTTTTTTGTTGTTTGCCTTAGAAGACAATTCACTGGAAGAGTCTTGTGGAGGACTCCCGGCTGTGGAAGGTGATCGAAAAATTAGCCTGATTATGGAGTTGTCCACCCAGGTTTCCCTTCAGACTGAGAAGATCACTCAGTTGGAAGAAGTTCTAGAGGAAAAGGAAAGGAAAATTCAGCAGCTGGAAGCCGAGCGGGTAGCCCATCCTGTCCATGAGGTCGAGGTTTCTCCAGAATGTTTACAAGAATCCCTAATTTTCTTTAATGATAGTGGCGGTCCTATGTTCTCTGATGAGGGTATGTAAAAATTCCCAGTCAGAAAACCTGGAGATTTATTAAATGTCATCAAGGTAAATTCCAGAATCCAAATAGTCTCCTCATTGGTTTAGTCAATTTCAAGATTTGAATGTGTCTTATATGTTCATATTGAAAGGAAACAAAATAAAGGGAAGTGTTCAGAAGCAAGCACCGAATGTTTCCCCTTTACACATCAGTAGTCACGTAACCCACACAGCTGTAGAATGTTATATTTTTAGACATTCCTGGTAACAGTAGGAGAGGGAAAAACACATAATAGACAGATAGGTGAAGAACTTAACATCATCCTCTCACCAGAGGTTTATCATATTGGAAGCAAGAGGTGAATGACATCAATTCCATTTTAACATTCAGCCAGTTAGGAAAAAAGGCTATTGTGAAAGTTAAGCTTCAAATTGAAGAATGTTAAGGTACTGAAGAGCACAGTCATTGCCAGCAAAGTAAACACTATGAGGTTTGCCCTTTCATGTTCTTTACAATACATTTCTTTATTTCATGTATTTTATTAACATTTAGCAAGGTTAAAAATGAATTAAAACCAGGGGTCTCCCTGGTGGCGCAAGGGGTTAAGTCTCAGCACTATGAAGCTATTGGCAGTCACTGCAGCACGGGTTCTATCCCCGGCCAGGGAGGTAACCCACATGGTGCAGCAGACCTCTCTGTCTCGCCCACTGCTCCCCTCAGCAGTGTGTTTCAGTCAGCCTGCCTGTTCTGTTCCCCACTCTGTCCCTGGTGAATCCTCTCACACACACACACCCGCACCTCTGGCCTACACTCCAGCTCTTCCCCAGCTCTTGTATGCATAAATAAATAAAATAAATCTCTAAAAATATTAAAACCGTAATCAAAAGAAATAAAGAATGGATGAATCACAGCTATAGTCCTTTGGGAAAAGTGTCCTAGGACAGCATCTCTTTGGGAAAACACACAACACTGAATGTTCCCTTAGGAGCAAGACTAAGACCAAACAAAAATACACTCTTTCATTATATTATACCAAGGAACTATAGACAGCACAAAATAATACCAGAAAAAATAGAGAACAAAGGAAAGATGGCCTGTAATTAATCTAATAGAAGGAACTGTATCATGTTCCTCTTTCACACATGCCCCTCAAATGAACTATTTCCCACCCATAGAGGTAGCCAGGCTCTAACTTTAAAGAAGGCTTGGTACTTAAATCTTACTGTCCTGGTCAGTATGACTCAGGTGAACATCCATAGCCCTCACATGAATCTGACTGCATCAGTGCTTTTTGATTTAATGCTATCAGTCCAATATTCACTGAAACTCTTCTAACAGTATTAGATGTTAGAAATATAACAAACAAGCAAATCACAACTTTTATCACCTAAGGGTTCACAGGCTGATTGTAATGAGAGATGGGAAATGGAAATGAGAACGTGGGGGAACATGATGTAAACTTAATTTGCACTACTGTGGTAGAGGTTCTCAAATTTCCTAAGCATAATGATCAGTAAGAATGCATATTCCTGGGCTCTGGTGTAGGACCCAGGAATACAAATCCTAGAGCAATCAAATTCAAGCCTTGAAGTTCTATTCAATTTTTCTGACACCATGTGAGGTTAAGGGCTAGCATGTCCTTACTGTGTATTTCCTTGGGAATGCTTTATATTTATTTCAGTTTGTAAAGAATGGACTTGTCTCTAAGACAAACCATTGTCTCTGCAATTTTGATCTGTTATTATGACAATCAAATTTCTGTCTCTTAATTTTATCAAAGATTGTCTAAATCCCATGGGATATTGGGGGTGAGAAGGGTAGGGAAGGAAAGAAAATCCCATCCCATCACATCCCAGAGAGGATGCTAAATTCTAGATCAGTTTCCCCTGGCTAATGCCCTAGCACTCAGTAAGAAAGAGCCTTACAGTGGAGATAAAATAACAGGCTAAGCTGGAGCTGCTGTTAATAATTAATTGAGTCTGCCACCTCTAAATACCCAAGGACCTTCAGTCCCTGAAGAAGAAAGCATCAGGGTCATATTACTCGGCAAAATGATCTTTACAAGAAGTTGATCTCCATTCAGGTCTAGGTTAACTCCAAATCAGAGTGGGAAGATTTAGCCCAAAGGTGAACAGAAATATCTGTTTAGCAACATCTTACTAATAGTAACAAGAATTCTTTAAACGCCCAGAATTGGGGAGAGTGTATGTGTGAGAGGAGGTACATTAGCCTCTGAGGCATTTCTAAGTGGAAAAATTTACATTCCCAACTAAATGTGCTATTGTATGCCACCAAACTTCATTTCTATTTTCTGCCATTTCTCCAGAAAAATGAGAAGTTTCAAATTGCTATAAACTAAAATCTATAAACTAAACTAAAATCTCATTTTCTTGGGAGCAAGTTGGATAACTGAAGTAGTCTACAAACCTTCAAATTATTTGGAGTAAAAAACAAGGCAATTAGCATACTGATGACCTTATTTCTTAATGAATATATAGCAAATCATCAGGTAATATATGCTTCAAAAGTTATGGAAATCTAAAAAAATAAAATATTTAACAACTAACAAGCCATTTGCTAATATTCTGAAAACATGTAAAAAATGCATAGCTTTATTTCTCCTTTTCCACAATCATTAACTTTTCTGAAAGTTCATTTGAATGTGTGATGTGTCTAACCAAATTAAATAAATGTTAGATTTAATAATTCAATTACATTATTCTGTCAGTTTGTTTCCAAATACTTTCCTGGCAAACTTAAATCATAGCAACAGCCTGACTAGCAGGAAAGCAAGTCATTGGAGAAACCAGACCAGAAATGTGAATTTCAGTGAAGTTTAGCAAAAGCAAAGAAACTACAATACTTTCTGGAAAGAATGAATTCAATCAAGTTTTAATTATCTCCTGCACTCCTCTCTGTTTACTCCCAAATCCAGTCATTTTCTTCTACATTATACTGAAGTAAAGAATTTTCCTTTAATGCAACAAAGCAGACTTGATAAATGTTATAGGCCTAAGTTAAATAGTATTTATTTGGCAATTATCAAGTATAGGAACTACAGAGACGAAATTACTCCAAAAGATAGAAGAAAACATTTTATTTTTTTCCCATTTTTTATTTTTTATTTGTATATTCCCCATACAATTGCAACCCCCTGACTTTGACCCCAATCCTTCCTTTCCCCGACCCCCCCACAAAGTGTGTCTCTGGTTCATAGTTGTTTGTTGATTTTGATTTTTTTCTTTCTTATAGTTATTCTTTTTCCTTGTCCCTTATTTAGGTTTTCTAGATTCCTGCTATGAGTGAGACCATCCGGTATTTTTCTTTTTCTTTCTGGCTTATTTCGATGAGCATGATCCCTTCTAGCTCCATCCATGTTGCTGCAAATTGCATGTGTTTATCTTTTTTGAATGCTGAGTAATATTCCATTGTGTATATGTACCACATCTTCTTGATCCAGTCATCTATTTTTGGGCATTTGGGTTGTTTCCAAAGCTTAGCTATTGTAAATAGAGCTGCTGTAAACATAGGGGTGCAGGTGCTCTTTGGAATTAATGTTTCTGTGTCCTTTGGGTAAATACCTAAGGGTGGAATTGCTGGATCATATAGAAGCTCTATCTTTAGTAGGTTGAGGAATGGCCACACAGCTTTAGAAGGAAACATTTTAAATGACATGGAAAAATCAAATACCTGAGATTCAAAAAAGCCTGGCTCTCATAATTTGAAAAAAAAAGACAAAAAAAATTGTAAAAAAAAAAAATCATTGTTACAAATTTTGCCTGTTCTTCCAACAAAATCCTTTCCAGACACAGAGAGTTTTTTTGCTAATAGAGGAGAATCAACTTCAAGTAGGAAATAATCTTTTTTATAAAACAGTACTAGTACCCTGGCTATGAGATTTCCCATACCTAAGGAAATCAGGATTTTCAGGATAAAAATAAAATCCAAAACCAGTTTTATTCTTAGCTTCCCAGACACATTAAACATCTGGAGCCAGTCACTATATTCCCAATAGTAAGAACCTGTGACAAGAGCACACTTAATTGGCTGATAATTCTACCTACAAAGTCTATATTTACTTTTTCAATTTGTTTAAAAAAAAAAATGACCTGCAGTGCTCAACTTCAACAGTATCAGATCCTTTGTTCTAAGAAGAAACAGATATATGATACATTGTCTAATAACTCTTGAATCCATTTCCCAAATGTCACAAACAAGCTTTACCAAGAGTTTGTTGTTATGTCACCTTTTCCCCAGAATGATATTGTAGGTGAAGCATGAGAGCAAAACGGAGGAAAAAACTATAGCCTAATGCCAACTTTGCCAACAGCTGCAAATTCCAGTTAAAAGAAAAAACTGATAATATAATCCTGTGACCTTGAAATAAAAAGGTGTGTCTTATTGCCTAGCTCCTGTTTGAATGAAGTTGGTATGGTAATTGCAAAAGAAACAGCAAATGGCTATCCTGGATGCTCTATTGTCTCATAAAGAACCTGTTTATACTAGCCATTAGTTTGTGTATAGGGATATTACTAATATTTGCTTAGCAGTTTATAGTTAATTAAAACACTTTCAAATAGATTTTTTAATCCTCATGAGCTAGTTTTAGCTAGATAACTAATCCCAAGATTTTAAGTGGAAAATGCCAGAAACCAGGACATGTGGCCCCCAGGTGAATATAGCTTACACAATACTCACCACCTTTGTACAATAATGGAACAAAAAGACACTCCTTGTATACCTGTTTCTCAGGTTAATCTTCATTTCCTTTTATAAGAAAGACAATTCTCCACAGGTATCCTCTTTCTCAAGCTTATTCCCCCACACTTGGGGTTAAAAAGTTGTCCAGTTTCAACTGATAGACTTACATGGTTTGGCACAAACAGTGTTATTGTTTTTGTTTCCTTACTGTCTTTTATTTTTGTTTTAAAGTAAATGCACTCTACAGTTCGCCTCAGGCACCATCATTTCCTATTGTGATAAGCCTGCCTGCTTATGATATTGATCTTTCCTGCTTGGCCCTGTAGCCACATGGGTTTGGAATCCTTGCCTGACACTCACAATGTGCATAGTAACAGATCTAATTTGGCATGTTGTGGTTCTCACCATAAATTTCAATGTCTTGAACTTTTGATTCATAGTCTAATATATACGTTTAAGATGAGTACATTACATGCTTACATTCAGTATTGATACATATTACCACATGTGTGACAGAGACAATACAACAAAGACTTAAAGAGCATGCTGCATCTTATTAATTCAAAACTTTCTAAATTTTTCTCTTTTAATTTGTATGCTGTTTAGAAGG